TGCACAACAATTTTGAAGGCTCATTATCTCGTAACAATGAGTCATGAAAGTCTATGTCAATAGATATGGATCTGCATTATCATTTTTAAAATGTTATAGATTTCTCAAGAGGAAAGACAAAGATATGGATCTTTTCCATCCATTGTCTGAGTACTTGGTGAGTTTTTCATGTTGGAAACATTTTTCAGTTCTTGGAAATTTCTTACATAATTTATATTTTCTCTCCTATATCCCTTCTCTTAGAGTTTTAAATTTTTTTTTCTGAGAGAATTATTTGACTTACCTGCAATCCCTTCATGAGATGTTTCATTTCTGTCCTCTTGTTTTTTATTTTGAGAACTTTTGTCGGTTTTTCTATAGTCCTTAAAGCATGGTGTTTGTTATAGTTTGGATCCAGAATGACCCCAAAAGCTCCTGTGTTAAGCAAGGCAGCAATGTCCAGAGGTGGGATTTTTAGGAAATGATTGGATCACGAGGGCTTTGACCTTCTAAGTGGATTAATCCATCTGATAGATTAATATTTTGAGTGGACTACTGGGTGGAAACTGTAGGCAGATGGGGGCATGGTTGGAGAAAGTAGGTCACTAAGGGCATGCCCTTAGGAACACTGTCTTGTCCCCTTCTACCCGACCTCTGCTTTCCAGCCACCAAGAGCTGACCAGCTGTCTTCACTACACCCTTCTGCCATGATATTCTGCCTCACCTCAGGTCCAGAACAGTGGAGCCAGAGGACCATGAACTGTGAAACTGTGAGCCAAAGTAAACCATTCCTCCTCAGGTACTTTGGTCACAGCAACAGAAAGTTGACTAATACAGTGTTCTTGTCACTATAGTTGCAGAAACTTCTTTCTCAAATATATAGTGACTTTTGGCTGTTTGCCTGTCCACTGTTTGGAAGCTCTTGCTGGCAGGGAGGGCTTGTTGACAGGCAGGCTGGACTGAAGACTGACCTGGCCAGGCCTTTTCATGGGAAAACAAGGAGTGGCATATCTAGAGTTCTTTTCTCTTGACTTGGATAGTTCCCCATAAATAAATCCAGTCTTCCTAAACAAGGCCTGAGTCTGGCTATCAGTAACCCAAGCCAAGTGGACAAGTGCATGTCTAACATGCTGGGCCTCCAAGAGCCCAAGTGGAGGTCTCCAGGCCACGTGGCTAGTTATTATAAACCAGTCTGCTCTTACAGCCTTGCCTGCACATCCACTCATGAGCCTCACAGTGTGCTAGACCCACAGGCTTCCTATGTGCACTGCTGACTGCAAACTCGGACGGTAGCAAGGAACTGAGAGGATAGAAGTTTGAACATGCCTGTATTAGTTTTCTAGGGCTACCGTACAACAGAAACTTCACACAGTTCTGGAGGTCAAAGTGTGGATATTGGCAGGATCCTGATTGTAGAGAAAACAAAGCTGCGCCTCCAGCTTTGGGGGCGTCAGGTGTTGTTGGCTTATGGTTGCGTCACTCCGTTCTCTGCATGTCTCTTCATGCGGACTTCACTCTGTCTGGGTCTGTGTGTCTCTGGATAGCATATGGCCCACTCCTTTGTCTTACAAGGAAGCCAGTCTTTTGGAATTAGGGTCCACCCTGAATCCATGATGATCTCATCCTGAGATCCTTAATTATATCTGCAAAGACCCTATTTCCAAATAAGGTAATGAGGGTTAGGATTCAGATATATCTTTGGGGGTGGGACATAGTTCATCCCACTCTAGTGCCTAAAGCAGGGATAAGGACTGACTTTCTGTTGACTCCCAGGGGACCCATGGCAGGTAGGATCTCTGCCACACACCTCCTTTTCAGACTCAGCATTTCCAGGCCGTTCTGAGCTGCTCCCAGACTACCCCACTGCTGGGGAGGGAAGAGAGGCGTGCTGTTGGGGGGACAGCCTGGTCTTACTAAATATACACTTTGGATGGTTTGGAGTTGTTAAATTTTAAAACTCTCTCTCTCTTTCATTTAACAGAGCACAGCGTATTCTCCCCTTCCCCATCCCAGTTCCCCTGGGGTATCATCCCTCCATCACTTCTAATTTCTACTCACTCAGTTACCAAACATTTGAAATGTTAAGACACAAAAAAGACTAAGATAAACAAAACTCACATTATTTTCTGTTTCTGGGTCTGTCTTCTACAGCAGGGCAGAACCTGGCAGCCTGGTCAGGGATGGATGATGCTGCCACAGAGGACTGAGCTAGGTTCTCTCGGTTTAGAGGAGGACTTCTGGTGCCATCTGCCCTCTCTGCATGCCAGGCATCTCTGAGTCCCATGCTCAGGTTTGACCACTGGCAGTCTGCCAGCGTGGGGACTTTACACTGATTCACGGATGCACTTCGTTATCAATCCCACATGAACCTGCTTCCAGAAGTCCTGCAATCCCTCTGCCTTCCTAAAGTTCTTGGCATGATTGATTCTCCCTTGCACCTCCTGCTGCCAGCATGTGCCAGCGTCCTCTGCTCACAGTCACTGTCCACAGACCGTCTGCTTTCCAGTTTCCAAAACTGATTGCTTAGACTCCTCGCCTCCTCTTGTACTTGGAGGTTTATGTTAAAATTTTTATTCTTTTGCAGTCATTCTAGTGGTGTTTGAGGAAGGAAAGGAGGTAAATGCATATATTTGGTTTCTGTGTTAGTTAGGTTTTTGTCACTGTGAACAAAATACCTGTCAAGAACAACTTAGAGAAGGAAAAGTATATTTTGGCCAAGTGTCAGAGGTTCAGTTCATGGTCAGCAGACTGCATTACTCTGGGCCCAAGGTGAGACACAACACCTTGATGGAAGGATGCGGTGGAGGAACATTGCTCAGCTCATGGTAACTAGAGAGAGAGAGAGAGAGAGACAGACAGACAGACAGACCAACTAAGGGACAAGATATAATCCCTGAGGGCATGTCCCAATGATCTACTTCTTTTGGCTATTCCCTACCTGTTTCCGTCTATAGTTGCCACACAGAATTCCATTCAAATTATTAACCCATCAATCCTCTGTTAGATTACAGCTATCATAATCCAATCATTTCACTTCTGAACATACCTGCATTAACACAGGAGCTTTTGGGGGGACACTTCATATTTAAACCATATCAATTTACCATGTTTCACTGGAAGATCTTGTTTTCACTTGCTTTTTTTTTTTAAATCACAGTTATTAGTAAGCTTAAACATCTTTCCATAAATATATTGGTTATTTATATTTCTTTTGTAAATTTCTTATTCAAGTACTTTGTCCTTGGAAATGTTTTTCTTATTATACTGTAAAAAGCTCTTTTTATATTTAATTTATTAACTTTCTGCTTCTCACATAGGTCATATTTTCCCCAGTTTAATTTGTCTTTCAACGTTTATGTCCTTGAAATCTGTTTATTGTTTTACTTTATCATTTCTGGGCTCTACATCATACTTAGAAATGCCTTCTCCACTGCAATATCATGAAAATGTTTACCCATATTTTCTTCTAGTGCTTTTAAGATTTTTTCCTTACATTTAAATATTTGATCCATCTGAAATAAGATATGGGTGGATCCAGCTTTGTTTTTCCCAAATGCCTAGCCAGTTGTCCTGACACCATTTAATGAACAGTACACTTTTCTTCATTGATTTGAAGTGACTTCGGCATCATGTGCAGTTGAGTCTATTCTTGGACTCTGTGTGCTGTTCATTCATCTTCTGCTTTCACTTGATTTCTGTGACCTTTATTCTGGATTGCAGAGTCTGATAAACCGAGGCTCTAGGCTTTATTCTTCTAAATGTTCCCTGCTATCCTTATATGCTATATTTCCAGATGAATTTGAGTGTCATTTTCATTTCCAAAGTAAATCCTCATAGGATTTCCAATGGACTTGTAAAATCATATGTCACAAAACATTTCCCCCAAATTAGAACCCCTCCATAGGGGAAAATGCTGTACTCTTGGGGACTATAACTAGACAAGAGACGTCTCTAAGAATATCATCATCATCACCAACACCAACATCAGTACTGTCATCCTAATTCACTTATTCTCTAAGAAATAGGTTTTCAATATCACTTTACCTAAGGAAGTCCCTACTTTTAGTTAACAAAAAAAGAAAAATTTCAGGTTACAATTTCCACCTCTAAAACTTTTCTCCTTTTCAAAAGAATAACTTATCACACTTCCTTAAAAGTGACTTACAGAGCTGGGGTTCTGGCTCAGCGGTAGAACACTCACCTGGCAGGTGCGAGGCCCTGGGGTCAATCCTCAGCACCACATAAATGAATGGAATAAAGGTATCGCGTCCAACTACAACTAAACATAAATAAATAAATATTTTTTAAAAAGTGACTTACAATCTGATGGATAGTTGGAGACAGTTATATCCAGGGCTATTTTACTAGTAAGATACAAATGGAATTTTTCTCTTAAGGAAACTAAAAACCCAGTCCCATAATTTCAATACCAAGCACTGTGAACTTCAAACAACAAAAAGAAGAGAGTCCTGAAGGTTGTAACTTTTATTAAGATCATCAACCCTTGGTTTAAGCACTTTTCTACAAAACTCTCATACAATCTCATTTATGCTCCTAATATTGCAATGATATTGATATTACTATATCAATATCCAGTATCTGGAGACAAACATAGATTAGTGATGTGCCCAAGGTTGTTATTCAAGGAACTAGCCAGCTCAGTGGTGGTGGGTGGTGCTGGGTAGCTGCATGTCTCAAGGCTCCAAACCCATCTAGTGTTTTCTCCTAAAGAGCAGAGTCAGCATAGAAGGGCCTCTCAAACCGAGAAGGGTATTCAGGTACAACTATTACCTGAAGGTTGCTTTACTGCTGGAACTTGGCACTTGAGTCTGGCTGCTGTGACCACCATGTGGGTAGGGAGCCATGGAGAAGCTGCCAGCCTCGGTCACAGCACCACCTCTGTCCTGTTTTCCTGGCATTGTACCGATCCCTCCTAAGCCTGTCTGTGACTCTCATCCATGTCATCCGAAGCCTTGTTCTGTTTTATAAGGGAATGCTTCATGCCCGTGGCAGAAGCATAGATGTTCCCGAGGAGCCAGTGTATCTCCAATCAGACAGATCCTAGAGTAAACCGTGGATGGCATTTGTTTCTTTCTCTCTGCCCGGATGGCTTACACCATTTGAAGAAGAAAACAGAGGGGAGAAGATCTGGCTAAATTCAGATTTGTTTAACAGATATTTTATTTGCTTTCCCTTTTCTTTGCCATCACTGGGGATTTGGGCTTTGAAAGAGTGTCTTTTAACATTGCTGGACGAGGAGTTAGGTGGTCTGTGGTCTCTGTGAAAGTTGTAAGATTATGTCTTTCTGGTGACTAGTGTCCAAGACCTCAAATAACCAAATATGATAAGTTAGCAGTAACCAAAGGAAAGCAGCCCATGAATGGACTCTGTCTTGGGAAAGGTCTCTCTGATGCCTGCTCAATCTGCAAGGGCCACAGTAACCCTTCTTAAATGATTGCTCATTTTCCAGGACACAGGAGCCTGTGGTCCGTTTAGCCTCTAAAGCCTTGACCTTGGAGCCAAATTCCCTAACTGGCATCATTTAAGATACCAGCAAAACAGATTGGTTTTAGGGATACTGGATTCATACACCATAGCCTAGGAACCGGAGTGGCGGTCCCTGTGATAGGGGAGGCCACTCTCTGTGACCTTCAGTGATCTGCCAAAGCACAAGGGCAGGAATGGAACCACATCTGGTTCTCTGACTTAGGAGCAGAATCAAATATTTATCAGTGGTGACTTGATCTCTGGAGTTTTGTTCTTGTTATTCATTTGTTTGTTTTGTTTCAGTTTTATAACAGCCCCAGAACTCACCTGTTAAAGGCTTCCTCCCTAGTACTTCACCCTGCCAACCCAAACTCACCGACACCTTGATCTTGGACCTCAAGCCACCAGAACTATGACAAAATGAGTTTCTGTCATTTAATCCACCCAGTCTGTGCCATAAGGTCATGGCAGCCCTAGCAAACTAATACAGATTTCCAGATTGGGAACCAGCCTTCAGTAATTTTTTTAAATTTAAATTAGATTTATTTTGAACTGGTACATAAAATATAAATGTCCACATTAATGGGGTAATGTGATGTTTGGATACATGCTACCCTGTGTGTACCCTGTAATATATATTTTATTTTATTAGGATTTTCATTCTAAATTATTCCAGTCCCAGGGAACATTGCTGTTTTTAATAGTTTGGGTTTCTTGTAGAATGCTCTAAAATATAAGCTATAAAATAAAAGCTAAGAAAGTGAGATTTTTTTTTAACAAGGGTGTTTTTCATGTTTTTCAGATCTCTCACACAAAGCTTTCTGCGGATGATGAGTGGAAGTAAGTGATCAGTATTTTTTTATAATCGCTTTATTAAAAATTAGATTCGCATCTTAACAGTTTGAGAAACTCAATGAAGTCATCAGTTCATTTGTATATTTCCTGGGATAAAGAAGGTGGAATGAGGAAACTGTGTAGCTACAGCAAAAAGGTACTTCAAACCAAATCTGCACGGATTTCATGTGTTTGCTAGTGTGATCCATGCAATCCCACAAAGCTGGATTAACATATTCTTCAAAATATGGCAGTATCAGGTGGCTGTTCATTTTAGGCACATAAAACATATGAATTTCTCTATGTGCTGGGACCTACAATGGGACTCTTGGACACTGTGAGCACCACAAAAAGAGGAGAAATGAAGATTTCTTCCCTTTTTTGTCTTATAGTGATCAATTGAATGTATCCTTACTCAAAACTGGAAATACTTATTACATTGTATATCAATTTGTGATCTTGAAAGTTCTTCCACATAGGTTAATCCATTTTCTAGGTGCTTTCAATGTGTATGTATGTTTGTATGTATATATATACAAAATGAATTAATATCATAAAGCATATTTTGTTTTCTGTCTGTGCAAGTGATATTCTCTATCAACAATGAATTCACTCCTATATCTTCATAACCTAAGTTGGAAGTCCATTAATTACACAGAATATTAAATATTTATTTCGGATTTGTGTGTGTAAAAATCATAACTAACCTCTGGTACCCTTTTCATTTTTCTTCACTTTCTTTTCTTCTGAGAGACAAATGAGTTTTTTCTTTTGTATGAGCTTCTAGAAATCATTCCTGTCTCCTGAGTGCCGCTTTCAACAGTAACTAAAAGTCATGTAATTTTATTCAAGTCGATTCTCTGATCTAGACTCCAGCTTCTTCTCTTGATCAATGAAAGGCTTTCAGTCCGCCTGTTTATGCCTCCCCACAGTAACATTCAAAGAGTCCATCTCCAAGAAGCTGAAGTGAAGCAGGAATATTTACTGGTTCATTTCTATGTCTTCACCAGCAGGGGGCACCCCTGGGATTTGCATGGGGCCCTTTTCTGATGGTACTTCCAGACTGTATAGAAATGCTGGAACATACCCATCAAGTGCCTTTAAAAAAAAAAAAATCAGCGTTTTGGCACAGAATATTCCCTTGCAGCGTTTTCTGATTGAAACACTAGCTAACTGCATACTGTAACCAATCCTAAATGGAAACTTCACTTTAAGAGATTTTGTGATTAATGGTGTTGCCCTGCTGCTGGTGAGAGAATGCTAAGCAATTGGCAGCATTTGTAAATTTCCCCCTTTCTCTGTGTTTAATCTGGGCCTCTCTCTTCCTCTAGGCCAGTGGCTCTCAATCTTGGCTGCCCCTTAAAATCACATGGAAAGCTTTAAAAATGACTGATGCCTTAAACGTTATACTGTGTATACATGTATCAAAACATCACATGATGCTCCATTAATCTGCATATTTTTATGTTTTTATGTATCAGTTCAAAATAAATTCAATTTAAATTTTTAAAAATTGATTACCAATGGCTAGCTCCCATCCTGGTCATCTGTATTAGTTTGCCAGGGCTGCCGTGACAATACGGAACAGCCTGGCAGGCTTCAACAACAGAAACTTACTTTGTCATAGTTCTGTAGGCTTGAAGTCCAAGATCAAGGTGTTGGTGAGTTTGGGCTGGCAAGGTGACACACCAGGGATGAATCCTGGAGGTGGAAGACACAATCCTGCTCCTAATACCCAGCAAAGATCACTTAAATGATTTGGGGTACTGCACGGGCACTGGGGTTTATAAAACTTTCTAATGATTTTAACTGGCAGCAAAGGTCAAGAACCACTGCTATAGGTTTTCTTCAAAGTCACTTCTATTCTAGGGCTTCAAACCAGATGCCATATGATTTTAGTCGTTTTCTCGGTCACTGTGAAAAAATTAAGTGTTCAGCTAAAAATTGAAAGTCCAACTATCATCTGAATGTTTGTGCTCATCTAAGAAAATGCTCAGGCCTATTCTTCCTTCCTATAATAGTTGTATAATAATTTATACAACAAGCTCACCTGGAGCTTTCATTTCCCCATGGATAATATACTCCCGTTTGGGCCTAGGCTCCTTCTGCAGGATATCCTTTTATCAAAAATGGTGGAAATTACCAACATTCTACTGCTTTTGACTTTCAAAAAATGGCAGTTTCATATGACTCAGCCTAATATATATATTTTTCCTGATACAGCTACAAATAACATGTGCTTACATCATAAGTACCATGAGGTACGAAGGGATTATCTTAAATTTATAGATGAGGAAACTGAGGATAAATGACTTTCCAAGATTATGGGTCCATGAAGTGGCCCATCAGGGACTGGAACCTGTCTTCCCAGTGTCCATCTTGCTTCTAGGCTTCATTACTTAATTTGGAAAGAAAAAAAAAAAGTGAACTCAAAATCACATGGGGGAGGCAAAGGACTGAGAGGAACTGGTTTTGCTGATAGAATCTGCTGTCCTTTTCCCAAACCTAAGGGGAAGGAGAGAAATAAAGAGAAGCGTTGTGATCAAAGCTTACTACCTGCTTTTTCAATCCTCCTCTTCCTATGAGCCCAACCTGTTATTTTCTCTTTCGCTAAATATGCAAAGGTTGAGGGCTTTTTCAGATGACCTCATTTGCTGGTTCCAGTCTGCAGCAGGAGAGGATGTACAAGATGCACCGTGGCCACGAGTCCATGCACGTGGAGATGATCTTGATCTTCCTCTGCACCCTGGTTGTCGCCCAGGTAGTGCTGGTGCAGTGGAGACAGAGGCATGGCCGATCCTACAATGTGAGTCACCCCTGGCTGCTGGAAGCCCACTTCAGCTTCTCATTGCCACGTTGCTCCTTTGTGACCACTTTGTGTCCTTACTGCTTTGGCTTAAATCAGTGGTTCTCAAGCAGGTACAATTCTGTCCCCAAGAGATCTTTGACAATGTCTGGAGACATTCTGGATTGTCATGATTTAGTTGGGGGATCAGGATGGAGGAGGAGGGGAACTGCTACTGAGATCTGGCGGGTAGAGTCCAAGGATGCTGGTCAACTTCCTACGATGGAGGGCAGCTCCCCAGTACAGAAATGATCTAGCCCAAATGTCAATCGTGGCAAGGCTGTGACAGCCTGCTTTAAGTAAACCAATTTTCCTTTTGTGTATGAATGAGTTCTGCCAATGACTAAAGCAAAGAAAGATTGGGGATAGCAGAAACAAAAGGTTGAGGCTGTCTCATGTTGCTTCATTAGCAGTCAATAAGTAGTCATAAATAAATATCAGCAGCTGTCTTACCTTTATGCATATCCATGGAAATGTGTCCACAGCAAACACCTCAACAACACAGAGAAGTATCTCATTATCACAGGACAATCCCTGTGATATGGAGCATGTCTACTGGAACTTTCCCATTTCAGGGCTTAGAGTCATACTCTGGTCCTTGCTGGACCTGAGACCTTGTCATTGCAGTGGTTCTTAGGGTGCCTGGGAATCACATAGGTCCCACTCCCAGAGTTTCTGATTCAATAATTTACATGTCTAACAAGTTCAAAGGTGGTGCTGATGCTGCCGCCGCTGATTCTGAGACCACTCTTTGAGCATATAAGACTTCCTATAAAATATGAAGTCTTAGCCCAGACTAGGATTTTATGTATTTTTACCCATCATAAACATTATTTCTTGTATAGTACAGGGTTTAAAAGAATTCTCAATACTGTATAATATTTCAGTTTGGGAAATTTTAAAGAAAAAGAATCTCATTTTGTTCTTTTTAGAACAAAGACATGGTTTTCTGCCATATCACTATTGTCATGTCTATTAATCACCCTTTATATTGTACTTGACTGATATTTTTAAATGAATCAGACTAGAATCAAACCTTGCTAGTTATTCATTCTCATATCAAAGAGAAGGTCTTTAAATATATCTTAATTATAGTTTCTATACCTTCAAAATAACTAAGATTCAATTTCTAAAATCCTTATGTAAAAAGAAACTGGATTCCTAAGAAATTAGTTCATAGCTGTATTCTATCTTCTCTTTTTAAGTGATAACTATCTCTAGATTAGGTATAGAAAAGAAAGTTTGGCTTCCATGGTAACAGGTGTGGGTTTTGCCTTGGAAGCTCCTTCCCTCAGAAAGAAACAAGGCCACATGAGCCGGTAACTTAATGGTGCCAAGTACCTCTGCCATTTTTATTTGAAGACGTTTGAGTCCAGACAAAAAGCCTCTGTCCTTGTCTTGTGTTTGAAGAAATTGTTCCCGTGTCAACTCTAAGGATGTGTCATTACACCAGTATGTGTAAAACTCACACACTGGCCTCACACCTGATCCCAGATAGATGTGCCCAGCAGTCAAGACCCCTATGAACACACATGGCCATTGCTGGGCCTGACCCTAGCTGATTCAGCCTATGCTGGACCCAGGCTGACATTTTGGAGCCTGATCACAACAGTTGGCTGGAGCATGTGAGTCATTTCCCATTGTCACTTGCAACCTCTGCCACCTGAAATGTCTCTCCACAGATACTGCTTGGACAGCCTCCCGGACCCCCTCAGTCACCCCAGGTTTTCTCCCCAGTATTGCTGTTCCTGTCTCCTTTTATTGCACAGCTCCTGTTTTATGGCTACCCAGAGGACTCTGTGGTCCTAAGGATCACCATGGAGATGACCGAGTGACTGTGATCATGGCCTCTCTTGAGATGATGATGTCTAGCACTTTGACAAAGACGGGGGCCTACAGAAAGATGCTCCCATAATCGTCGAGGACAGATTTGGGTCTCATGGTGGCCCTGATGGGACCCTGCTAGGTTAGCTTAGAGACTTGGTCAGACTCTGGGATGTTTTTCGACTCCTTTGTCCATCAGCCCATCTGATGGGGTCAGATAGTGAAGCTTATTTCCATGATTTGATATTGTAACCCCCATCAATCTGTTAGTAATAAGTTGAGCAGCCTCTTGCCTCTGCATGTCTCTGCTGATCCTTGTTGCTCAAGTTGAGAGCCAGTATGTGAGGCCAAGCTTTCCCAGGATGGAGCCTTGACTTGAACCTGTGTTTTGCATCCCTTCTTGGAAATTCACCTCCAGAGCCAGGCATCAAACGCAGCCATTTCAGGGACTCTCAGTGACATCTGCAACCATTTGAGTTGGAAACTGTCGGAGACCAGCTCCAACAGGGGGTCTCAGGAGACGAACGGATGGTGAGGAGTTGGCGAAAGAGGGTTGGAGAAACAACACAGACACCAAAGTGAAGGTGTTGATCCCAATCTTTACTTGTGAAGCTGATCATATATACTTTTCATTTTGGCAGGCTCACAGTACTTTGTGGTTACAAAACAGGAATCATTATTCAAAGAAACAAAATATTACGTAGCTACAATTAGAATAGAAGAATGTATCTTGGCTTATGCATAAGCAAGCATTTGTACTTTCAGTTCGCGTTTTGCTTTGAGCTGTTTCTGCTTAGTTAACTTTTAATAATAGTTAGAAATGTCCCAAACTATTGGCCTATACCTTGACTATTCTTTCTTGACTTACTGACTGGAACCGGTGCCATGGTTACGGCAAGTGGTTGACTTGTTATTAATTTTAATCAAATAAGAGTAAGAGCACAAACCATTGTGCACAGGAACAAGAACAAGTTGCCCAGTACCAAGCACTAATCTGTCTTATTAACATTAATTCTTCTTCTCTAGATTTTAATTTAATTTCTCAAAAACTTCCTTGACAGGAATACAGGGAGTTTTTCATTAGACATTAACAATTTACACTCCACAGCTGAATCACTGCATTTAGAGCAAACAGATCTATTCTTTAGAAGTAGTTGCATTAATTGGGAAAGTCATGTTTTTTCCTTCATACTTAATGGTCATATGAGAAATCGCAACTATACTTATTAAAGGAATACAAAAACAAATCAGCCCATTCCCAGAAACATACTGCGCTCCTCCAGAGGATGGACGCCTTGTGCCATCCACCTCAGTAGGGCCTTGCCATTGCCTAAGTCAGGGGAGGGGCGCAGCAGGAAACAGTTCTCAAAGCACCAAGAGCTTATTCTAACACTGTTTTTGTTATTGTACTCTTCCTGAACAATATTTTTTTAAAAGCTGACCAAATGTACTAACCAATTTAATGTCTTTGGGCTGGATTTTGATGGACATATTTCCACAAATGCTGGCCTAAAAGCTCATCCAGCTCTTAAACTATTTCTCTTGGCACCTAAGATTATGTGGGACCTACCAGCCCTGCTGAGAACTCTGAACACATTTATGATTCATGCAGTTTTGCACTCTATTCATGAGGGGCCATATAATAAAGTTTATTTCCATGATTTGATATTGTAACCCTCATCTATTTTTAGTAACGTATCAATATATATCATATTAATTATAATAACACTCATAATAATTATTAGTTATTACTATAATAATATATAAATTATAATATATTATAAATTTTTAAACAAATTGGTACTAGAGCCATGATAAGTGCTATTTGTATCTTAGTTATCTAGAGTGGTAATTAGTATTCTATCCTCTTTTGTGCAGTATAGCTCAGAGAATTTAAATAAGTTGGCCCAAGTCATATAACTTGTTAGTTGCAGAGAGAAGACTCAATGCCAACCCCACTTGTTATTTGCTCTTATATCAAAGACAAGCTCCTTAAATATCTCTGAGCCATGATTTCCTTATCTGCAAAGTTCAGGTACTTAAGGTAAGGATTTGTCTTGCAGAAAGATAAGATTTCACAACTCAGAAATATTTCCTTATGAGAATTTCTAGCATGGTGATTGACACATCCTGAGTGTTTAGTACCACTTGTTGATTCTGAATGCTTTCAAATGCTTTTTCTGAAGCCAGTTCCCTAGATTGCTTTTATGAGATGTTAAGAAGCAAGATGACGAAGGGAAAAGTGCTGGCTTAGGAGCTGAAGACTCTAGCTACTCCTTTAACCACAGCAAGCCTCAGTTTCCTGGTATTTAAAATGATAGAATGTGAAAAAAATCGGAAGGATTTCTGGTTTCAGCTCCAACATGTGAAAAACTTGGTCATCACTCCCACAATAGAAGGAAAATTTTGAATAAACCAAATATCAAAAACTTTCCCTGAACCTGTCAGAGAATTGAGATCACAAGGAAAACCATCACCTTAAAATGTACAGAAATAGGTGAATGCAGGTAAGATCTGCTCCCTGGGAGCAAAAGCCATCAGAGCCATAGACTTGTAGGGACTTCGAGAATTGCTGAACATGGAGTGTAGACTAGTGCAAGAATGGAGAAGCTCTTGGGGGCCGCAGTCTTAGGGGAACCCCACATTTTCATAAATGTTAATTCCAGGATCCCTACCGGGTTCTCATAGTAAAAACCCAAGAGGAACCCTAGTATTTCTGGCAAGTGACCATTTTGAATTAGAACAGAATCTCTTCATAAAAAGGCCAATAACACAAGGGAAAAAGATTTCACCAGAAACTTGCGCAGTGCTAAGGGAGAGAGATTACCCACCCCACCTTCCTCGAGCCTTCCTATGTTGCCTAACAGTCAAAAAACTGAGAAACACCTGGGACGGTCATAGCCCAGTGACAAAAAGAGACTTAAACACGGGGTAGCAGAATTCCCCTGCTGACACAGCGCCCCGGCAGCCACACAGCTGGCCTACTAGTTCCTCCTGAGGGGCAGCAGTGTAGTGGCAGCGTGGGTGAGTTGGGGCCCAGGCAGCTACCATGCCCTGCTGCCTCTTGAAGCCACCAGGCAGGCAGGGTGGTCCTGAAGTCCTGCAAGCCATGGCACACAGCCTTTGCTGGCCAGGCC